ATACATAATTGACGGCCATGAAGTATTTTCATGTTTACCAAAGGGTACTTACTAACTGCTGGTCTTGAGGAGCACATTTTAGGCTGAGTCTGGGAAGAGATACAGAGCGTGAGAGTGCCACCAGGTTCCTTCTTCCAGAGATCTCACAGGACCCTGAATGTCGCCCAATCACAACTCTTCTTCACAGCTGAGGACGTTAAAATTGACCTGCCCCAGTTGGTGGTGACAGACACTTCATGTCCAGTGATCCTTCTACTGCTTTTGGCTTTCTCTCAGTTCCTGTTTTAAAAAGTCTCATTTGTTTTTCTACTTCCGAACTATTTCTCTACCCTAAAAACTTCATGGTGTGTGTGTGCGAAAGAAAAAATTACTCATGACACTTGTTAAAGATGGTCAGGCTGACTTTATTCAAGGAAGGTTACGACAAGGGGGTTTTGCAGTAAGAGAGAGGGATGGGCCTCAACTCTGACTCCAACAAGGTCAAGTGGAGATTTATACCCAGGGCGGGGGCAGTGCATGGAAAATGACTAAGAGGAAACATTAGGGTAAAGGAGGATTCTTGCTAGACTGACTCAACAGAGTTTTTGCTCCAGGCAGGCCAGAGCGACAGATATTGAGGCTGGTCAGATACCAAGGGTGGGGGATTTGTGCTAAACTGACTTAGCAGGATTCTTGCTCAAACTGGATGCTACAAGGGCTGAGAGGGAAGCCCGAGGTTGGGCATGGTCAAGCAGAGGGCTCAGAGGAGCCTGATTAAACTTTGGTCAGAGGATGGAGTCTTTGTCGTGTGTGTGTGTGTGTGTGTGTGTGTGTGTGTGTGTCCATATGCTTCCCATGGAAGCAGTGTGAGCGGTTTTCAAAGGGGAAAGGGAGAGTATAGGGATGGCAGCTTTAGTACGGGGGACACTGGCAAGCAGTTGTCAGACTGAGGACTGTATGTAGATATAAATCTATCTGAATATAAATGGGATAATCTATTCGAATAGACTTAGCTAGCTAGCTGTATGAAATATGTATATAGGAAAACTGTCCATATTCGTTGAGATAAATATTGAGTACTCAGTAAAGAATATAAATATTTATTTAGCATTTGTCTGTACATAAGCCTCCCCTCCCACCCATGTTAACTAGTGTTCTTGACTCCCATTTCACAGCTTTCCAATCTACTCTGCACAGTAATCTGAAGGTGATACTTCCCCTTAAATGTCTTACATCGTTTCTACGCTAGATCCCTTCTGTTTGCCTAGCCTTCTCCCCCACTTTGTTGGGAGGCACAGGTCAGGATTGGGATTAAGGACCTCCTTGCCCTGGGGTGTCCTATGGCATTTCGCCAATGAGAGCGCTTGCAGGAGACCATAGGGTGGAATGAGGGTGCAATTGGGGTGCTTATCCCAGGCAACCTCCCTGCCAGATTGCCCCGGGCTGGCAGTGTTTCTCCAGGAAAGACCACATGGGGTCCTCTCCATGCAGCCCTCCTCTTGAGTTCCCATGACTGCTCCCTCCCCTGTCACTTTGGGCCCAACCAGGGTGGTGGCTCTCTGCTCTTGCTGCCCCTGGGTACTCAACTCTTTCTTGCCGCTTTCCTTAAACGCTGCCCACATCTTCGTAAACCCTCCATCACCCAGGCTGATTGTGCTGCTCCCTGCTGGGCACCTGATGAATGTGGCTTTGCATTGCTCTGAGGTAAAGTTTTGAAATTCTCCCCACAGGCATCAAGTCTATAAAGCCCTGTGTTGCTGTCTGTATTTCCACATCTAGTCACTTGAATGCAATACTAGTTATTGATGCCTACCCAGGGGGATATAGCCCAGAACATAGTGATAAACTAGAATAAACCCTGTCCTCTAGAAATTTGCACCCTAGTGCAGGAAAATAAAACATGTGGGCAGATTAACATATATTTTGCAAGAATTTTGACCGGTGAAGAATGATATGTCTGACCTGAACCATTTGAACTTTGTGTTTGTTTTAGATCTGTTTGTTATTTAGTGTATGAGAAAAATCCTATTATAAATTCTAGTGTTCAGTTGATAAGTACCTGTTGGTCTGGTGTGCGAGTTTTCTTTTTTTTTTTACTTTACTCTTTATTTACTTTATTATTTTACCTTTATTTTATTCTATATTACTTTCTTCTTATTTCTTTTATTTTACTTTCTCATTTACACTTTATTTTTTGTTCTATATTTCTTAATTGGTCTCGGAGGAGGAGCAGCTGAGAGCAGTTTATGAGTAATGTCAAGGAAAGAAAATATCTTTTTAATGTCAAAAACAAGTAATTGTTTTCCTTTTGCAAATGAAGTTCCTATTTTTAGTAATAATTAAGTCCTGGGACTCCAAAAGTCATTTTGTCCTCGTGGAGCCCCAGAAGGGCTGTGGTGGTGGGGTGGGGAGCTCAGGGTCCGCCTGCGACAGCCAGAGTCTGTGCTTTGTGCTTTGTCAGCTCGGAAGCTCACTGAGGAGTGATCTTCATTCTAAATAATTTTCTTTAGCAGAACACCTTTGAAGCATCTTTCCTGAGCTTGAGCCTGGGCAGACTCCTAAAGCCATTAATTGGTCTTAAGTCCCCCAGTACCTCTTAAAACAATTTCCTAAATTAATTTCTTTCTGTTAAAATAACAATTTTCCTTTCTATTTTCCTGACTGGACGCTGACTGATGCAGTCAAAATTTATAAAAATCGACTGCAAAGTTATCAGTTCTCTATCTGGGAAGAAGTTTGGAAAGAGAAGTTTTGTAAAGCCAGATGAGCATAAAAAGAAAAACCCAACATCTTCCAACCATTCCCGGTCACCAAGACTTTTCATTTTATGAAGAAGTGAAACTGTCACTATTTGCAGATGACATGATTTTATATATAGAAAACCCCAAAGAATCCACCAGAAAACTTTTAGAAGTAATAAACGAGTATGGTAAAGTTGCAGGATACAAAATCAACATACAAAAATCAGTTGCATTTCTGTACACTAACAACGAAATAGCAGAAAGAGAAATTAAGAATACCATCCCATTTACAATTGCAACAAAAAGAATAAAATACCTAGGAATAAACTTAACCAAAGAGGTGAAAGATCTGTACACAGAAAACTATGAAACATTTCTGAAAGAAATTGAAGAAGACACAAAGAAATGGAAAGATATTCCGTGCTCTTGGACTGGAAGAATTAACATAGTTAAGATGTCCATACTTCCTAAAGCCATCTATAGATTCAATGCAATCCCTATCAAAGTTCCAACAACATTTTTCACAGAAATAGAACAAAGAATCCTAAAATTTATATGGAACAACAAAAGACCTCGAATAGCTAAAGGAATCCTAAGAAAAAAGAACAAAGCTGGAGGTATCACACTCCCTGATTTCAAAATATACTACAAAGCTGTAGTAACCAAAACAGCATGGTACTGGCACAAAAACAGACACACAGATCAATGGAATAGAATCGAAAGCCCAGAAATAAACCCACACATCTATGGACAGCTAATCTTTGACAAAGGAGCCAAGCACATACAATGGGGAAGAGAAAGTCTCTTCAACAAATGGTGTTGGGAAAACTGGATAGCCATATGCAAAAAAATGAAAGTAGACCCTTACCTTACACCATATACAAAAATTAACTCCAAATGGATTAAAGACTTGAATGTAAGACCTGAAACTGTGAAACTTCCAGAAGAAAACATAGGCAGTACGCTCTTCGACATCAGTCTTAGCAACATCTCAAACACCACGTCTGACCGGGCAAGAGAAACAATAGAAAAAATAAACAAATGGGACTACATAAAACTAAAAGGCTTCTGCACAGCAAAGGAAACCATCAACAAAACGAAAAGACAACCTAACAATTGGGAGAAGATATTTGCAAACCATACTTCTGATAAGGGCTTAATCTCCAAAATATATAAAGAACTCATGCATCTTACCAACAAAAAAACTACCAACCCAATTAAAAAATGGGCAAAAGACCTGAACAGACATTTCTCCAAAGAAGATATACAGAGGGCCAACAGACACATGAAAAGATGTTCAAAATCATTAACTATCAGGGAAATGCAAATCAAAACTACAATGAGATATCACCTGACGCCCGTCAGAATGGCTATAATTAACAAGACAGGAAACAACATGTGTTGGAGAGGATGTGGAGAGAAGGGAACTCTCATACACTGCTGGTGGGAGTGCAAACTGGTGCAGCCACTATGGAAAACAGTATGGAGATTCCTCAAAAAATTAAGGATAGAACTACCATATGATCCAGCCATCCCACTGCTGGGTATTTACCCAAAGAACTTGAAAACACCAATTTGTAAAGGTACATGCACCCCTGTGTTCATTGCAGCGTTATTCACAATAGCCAAGTCTTGGAAGCAACCTAAGTGCCCATCAAGGGACGAATGGATAAAGAAGCTGTGGTATATGTACACAATGGAATACTACTCAGCCATAAGAAATGATGAAATCCAGCCATTTGTGACATCGTGGATGGACATTGAGGGTATAATGCAAAGTGAAATAAGTCAGAGGGAGAAGGTCAAATACCGTATGATTTCCTTCATTAAGTAGTAGATAATAACAACAATAAACAAACACATAGGGACAGAGATTGGATTGGTGGTTACCAGAGGGGAAGGGAGGAGGGAGGAGGGTGAAAGGGATAATTTGGTACATGTGTGTGGTGATGGGTTGTAATTAGTATTTGGGTGGTGAACATGATGTAATCTATGCAGAAATAGAAGTACAATGATGTACACCTGAAATTTTTACAATGTTATAAACCAATGTTACTGCAATAAACAAAAAATTAAAAAAAAAAAAAAAGAAAATCCTCAGAGGGCGTAATAAAGTTAGTTTTTACCAGTTAGTTTCTATATGGATAATTTGATTCTACTTTTATAAATACTTAATCTTTGATGCCCTCCAAAGCATTGTGTGTTTAAATATCATGATTCTGTGGCCGGGATGGATGATGAAATTATCAACATAAACTCCTTGAGGCTTAGCATTTGGAACTATGGTGTTCTACCCCAACATTTGTTGAAAGTAAGAGCACAGAAATTGAAGCAAGCAACAAGAATCTCACAGCTCTGCATACCAGAAACATTGGCCTCGAACAGAACTAAACCAAAATGAAAAAGAGCAGGAGCCGACCAGCAAAGGGCCAGGAGTCGCTCGATCACGGAGGAGGTCGTCGTGGTCGTGTAGTGCAAAGGGCAACACACAGCATAAAATCGGTCAACAACGGAACAAAGGTGCAAGATGGAGGGCAGGCTTAGCATCATGTCAAAGCTTGCATGGAATTTATAAAAGCCATCCCCCAAGAACCAGCAGCTCTCCACGGACCGCACCATGCTGTAAGGCATGATGACAAAACCCAGCGGAAAGTCAGCGGTTGCCATGGAGAGGATCAGGAAATTTGTGGGAGAATGAAGCTGTTTGAACTGCGGTATGGAAATCATTATGACCAAGTTTCCAAGGATTGTGAGGACCATGGCTCCAGTCATAACCGAATACATTATCACTAGGGCGTGGAAAGGGTGGGAGGACAGGACTTATTTCCAAATTTTGGACAACTGGATAGGTCCTCAGGAATATAAGTTATATCCGTGGTGATTTATATCTTCAAATTCCTTTCTAGGAAGATGAGTCTATGTTTCTTCATTTCTTAAAAATGATTCCAGTAAATTTCAGCTCCTAATAGTACAATAAAGTTCAAAGTCACCTGTTAATTCACTTCAATTATAATTCATTTAAATATTTAAAATTAGATCAATTGTGCTTGCTTTCTGAGTTATTTGCTGCCTTAGAAAATGAAAAATCTCAACTGTGTATCTTTCATGTTCTAGTGTATTTTATTCTATTTTATCTATTTCCATTTATTCATTCAACATGGGTTTGTCTATCGACTGCTTTACTCCTGGTACTGTATCAGAAGCTTTTCCAGAGTTTATTCCATTTCTATGAGGTATCTAAAACAGTCACACTAATAGAAGCAGAGAAGATAATAGTGGTTACCAGGGGCTGGGGGAGGCGGAAATGGGCAGTTATTGTTCAATGGCATGAAATTTCGGTTAAGCTAGATGAATAAGTTCTAGAGATTTGCTGTACAAAATGGCTAATAATATGGTAGTGTGCACTTCAAAATTTGTTGAGGGTAGATCTCATGTTACATGTTCTTACCCCAAAAAACAAAAGCAAAAACAAAGGGACACAGAAAACTCTGGGAAGTGGTAGATCTGTCTATGACCTCGATTGTGGTGATGGTATCACAGGTGTTTGCATATGTCCAAACTCATCAAACTGTGCAGTTCTTTGTCTATCAACTATACCTCAATAAAGCTGTTTTTATAAAAAAAAAAAAAGAAAAAAGAATTTATGGTCGACTTTCACCTTGACCAGCCGCTTTGATAGAAACTCCGTTGAACTACAACAAGCTAACATCTCTTTCACCATAAAAGCTAAGTGAAATCACAAAGTTTCCTTTATGCATTCTTTCAATAATTTGAAATCTTCAGTTGTAAAAAGGCTGCAGATTTCTTAAGAGCTGTAAATGACATATGGCTATTGAAATACAGAGAGCCATGTACCTGTGGGCTAAGCCGTGTTGCTGCGTCAACACTTCACAGATTCTCTACTCTCTCTTCCCTTTCTCTCTTCTCCTCTGTCTTCCCATCCTCTCCTCTCCACTTTGTTCCCTTTCCCTGCGTTTTTTGAGTCTTTCTGCTTATCTGAAATTCTAACTAGTGGAGCCATGTCACATATTCCATCCCTGAGTGACTCATGAGGATCACAAATTTCACACTCTCAGACTCGGCCCAGTCAGATCTCACATGACTCCTGTTGGTCACAAGCCTGTCTTTTTGATAGACTACCAGGAGGCAAAGAACTTGTCTATCTTGTTCACCCCTAGATTCTCAGTACCCATGTTAATGCTTGTAGCAGGCAATAGATACATTTTTTTGAATGAATATATATAAAAATAAATGGCAAATTACTGTCATTTGTTTAAATATTTGCATTGTTCCAATAAAAGTAATTGATTCAAAATGCTTGAAACTTTGCTATAAATGAATGGATTCATGCTCGGCACACAGTTCACAAAATATTCCCGTATTAAATTGCTTCTGATGCTGCTATAAAATAATATCCCCCAGAGTAGCATTTAGATGGGCAGAGCTGGGAGATTTGCTGTAGACGTGTTTTGCTGATCCCTTAGGCTAGTGAGAAGAGAACTAAAAACGCCGAGTCCAGATAGAGATACAAAGGTTTTAGGAAAAGAAAAAAGAGCTGCCCAGTGTTTCAGCTAAACGCACTTGGGAGGTGGTGTAAGAGACCCCTCAGGGTCCCACAGCTGTGTTAAGATGGGGTTGTACTGGCTCTCTCCAGTCCCTTATGCAATGCTTAGCACCTCACCTACCACTGAAGGGAGTTGGGGGGTTTTCTTCCAGCTGAAACTCACATACTCTCAAAAATGAAAGAAAATACTGTGTTGGAGAGCACAGACTTACAACTAAACTTGTACAGTATTCAAGTCCATGAAGACGTATGCAGTTAAAGTACATCATTATCCAGGAAACTCTGTCACACTTCAACTGTCCGTGTGATCTCAACGATCACAGCCGCGACATTGAAACAACCTCACAGCAGCGTTGCATACAAGTAACTGCTCCATTTTTTAAGGATTGGAAGGGTTCTATGAGGTGTTTTGACATGAGATCAAATCTTCCACTGTGTGCATTCCTACTAATATAGGGGGAAGTCCATGTACTTTCAGAACCGGAGAAGACCTCGAATGGAATGTTTACAAAGACTTATCATGTGATGCAGTTTCCAGCCCCCGGCTGTCTTCATTCCACAGTATGGCTTTGAAATCAGGCAGACCTGTGTTTGATTATTGGTTCCACCACTTATTAACTGTATTGCTTTGGACAAGTTTCTCAGTGTCCCTGAGCCTCAGTTTCCTCCTTTATAAAATAGGGATAATGTGCCCTACTTCACACATTTGATTTAAAGATCAGAGATAATGTATGAAAATCACGGCATTCATCCAACGAGCCCTCAGTGAAACCCACATTAACCAGCTTTAACAAACTAACAATGTTCTTTTAGAAAACTATATTCTGATTTCCAAATCACTGATTTTCAAATGAACTTTGTTTCGTAACGTGCTTATAAGTTTGGAAGTTGTCTACGAAGACATTTAAAGCCATTAGCATTATTCGTATCTTCCTCCCTATGTTTCCTCATAAGAATTATGGCATCTCCTTCAATTTTGCCTTTTTTTGAGTCTTCCATGTAATCTATTACATTGAACCACACAGCCTATATGCAATTGCCTTTTTTGTAAGTTAAAATGTTCAAACACTAGTAATTTCAAGTAATTTCCCATTGGGATCTTTTCCTTTTCCCTCTCAAGTTTCAGTTTCAAGTACTGACTGATGCTGAGGTTGGCATATCTCCAGTCACATACATTTGCAAGAAGTAGATTTTCAATGCAAGATTGTATCATGGAACTAAAAATTATTGGAAAGAATCTTCAATGAGCTGGACACATTCATTTCAGTAGGAGGTAGAGGTAGCCCAACAGCAAACTCTAGGTTCAGAATCTAATTTTCACAGCCTTAAAGTGTGAATGTCATATAAGATGTGGCATAAAATGGAAACTTACAATCCATGGCTCTAACAGAAGGAGACAAATATTTGCACACGCTATTTATATGGCACAAACAAATACAAGTGTCACCATTGCTATAAAACACGTTCCCCTCTTCTAGAACCTAACTATTTGGGTAAACAACTTAAGGCTACCATTGCCACCTATGTATGTATGTATGTACAGATATATAAATTAATCCAAATTGTGATTTTTCTCATTTTTATTTGTTGAAAAAACACCAGATAAGAACGATCAGCAAAGGAAGATATGAACAATTAGTGTTATTTTTCTTTAATATAGTGACTCAAATTAAATGTAATAAGAAGCAAATTTTAAAGTTTTCTTATTTGAGCACAAATTTGAGTAATGTCCATAAATAATGTGCTTTCTTTTTCTCCTTTAAATTCTGGCTGTTCCATGCTTCCTGGAATTTAAGGCTGCAATCTAAAGTATTTCAACTGATTAGATAACTGCTTAAGAGAACTCATAAAATTTCAAACTAGCCTCTCTGACCACTTCGGAATGCCCGCTCATGGTGTGCCAGGTGAGAAAAAGTCTCTTCCCAAAACCAGCACCAATTTAAAGACCTGGAACTAACATTGACAAAGATGGTTCCATCATTTCTCTTGCCACAGGTCAGAAGATAATGTCAATTTTTATATAATCTATTAAAAAATTGATCTAAAACTACAAGGTCTCGAACATAAATACTATTTTCAAAATTCCAAATTCATTCTTAGACTAAAAGTAAATTCATCCAAGGGGCAGATTTCTGTTAATTTTCTATTAAACTTGTTAAGTAAAAACAATGGGGTGACAGTACAATTTCATGAGTAATTTCATAATTTAGACTAGTATCTTATTACAAAAGTATAAATGGTGTATGCAGTATAACAGAGAAGATAAGCGAAGGTTTGAAATTTATGAAAATTCATTATATTGGATTTTTCTGGTTAATTCTCTAATATCTAATATAGATGACAATGAATATTTAAAGACTACATTAAGAAAGACTACTTGGGAGCCATTTCAGGAATGACAATAAGTAGACCATATTCTAATGTAGCACTGAAAACTAAGATAAACAGAAGAAAAAGATTTCTTCCATAAATCTACATTATAACTATATATAGTAGTTTACACATAGTGACATCAAAAAGTAAAAATAGTATCTGGCACATAAATGACTGATTTATTCCAAATAGCTTGAGTTCATAAGTAAGCCTTATAAAACCACATGGCAGTTGGCAATGGGCAGAGATGACGTCTTGAAAATGTTGTCTTCTTGAAAGCAGCTGGGAGTGGGAAAATCATTTTAAGTGACAATAAATATACACACAGAATAGGCAGAGCAACCTCCATTTCCGAGAGCAGGGGCAGAAAGGAGAGTGAAAGTTAAAACCAAGCAAAGAGTCTTTACTAAAATTAAGTATCAGAGAATGTGTTAAAAGTAGGGGGCTCAAGAAGAATTGATCTAAATAAATCTTTTATCGAGCCCACATATATGTTTTTGGTGGACACCAGCGAATGGGCTGGGAAAACACGCCCTGGCTAGAACATCAGAGCACAGCCTTGCATATTATAAATGTGTCTTTTCAGCATCTGTTTGCATGAACACCCTGATTGTAGCCTTTCCTGCCTTCATTCTACAACACTCCAGCCACCTTTGGCCATGGTGGTTTCTACATTGCCCTGAAAATGCCCACTATGTGGTTTGGCCAACACCCTTTCCTCCACCTGATTGTCAGTCCCTTCATTTCTGACCACTTCAAAGTTCAGCTCAAGTATCATTTCCTTCCAGAAACCTTTTTTGACTCTCCCAGTTGGAGTTAATCTCATGCAATTCTAGACCATTGGGGTGGCCAGAGATCTTAGAGAAGTGGTGCCACTGCCTCATCTTACAGCTGACTTTGATTTCAAATACTTTTGTTTCCTTCTTCTAGCACAGCATTTTTTAAAACTGCCCTATCTTAAAATTTACAGTTAAGAAATTTCTCAAGAAATTTAGTTACTGAGATAACATCGCATTAACCATCTAACACTTGCAACCCCTAACACAGAGCCGTGTACACAGTGGGTAAACAGTAACGACTTGTTGAATTAAATGGAAAGAAATTAATTCCAAATGCATCATGAAACCCAGTTAATAGCATCTTGTCTCATGGTATTAGAGACATCTGGTTGGGAAAGATGAAAATATTAGGAGAATAGTAAAAGCTACTTAGAAAATAGCTAATAAACCCCCTTTCAAAACAAACAGTGTTCCAAATGAAATCCAGTCAACAATAAAAATTCTGGGTGTCTTAAAGTTTCCAAATTACTTGAAAAGCACATTTCCACTGCATCCTCCCAACAGTTCTATGTATATGAAATAACTAAGGTCTTGAGGGAGCTGTTGCTACTAAATGCTGGAACCAACAATATAATCCAAGTCTATTGGCTCCTGTTCCAGTAAACCTCCCACCACCCCTTACCATCTCTAAGAATGGGGAACAATTCATTTCTGGTCTATTTGGATAACAAGAAAGTCTATGGCTTCATCTGCTTATAGTTTCTCCCAACCAGTCCTTGCTAATCAAAGCATGGTCCATAGACCAGACACATCATCATCCCCTGGGAACATTTTTGGAAATGAAAATCTCAGACTCATCTCAAAATGTACTTCTTAGCAAGATGCCTACGTTATTTGTACACCCATTGAATCTGAGAAGAACAGTTCTTGACAATAGAGAACATGCATTTTTAGTTTGGGTACTCTGTATCTGAAATGAGTGAATAATTTTGAGGAGCAAAGAACAACAGACTATCTTAAGTAAATGCTGCTTGCAAAAGACAAAATACCAACAATGAAATATGTGGTATCTGACAGTGAATTAAGTAGCAGAGAACAAGAATTTTTTATTAAGAGGATATACTATCAAAGAGGAGAGTACATTTCAGCATTATTGAAATAGGTAAGTACCTTACATTTACTAAATCATGTCTCGCATAGTTCTTCTACTTTACAAAAACATTTTTTTATTGACACTTCATAGAAATTTACAAACTTTGCCAAATGAAATTTAGTGGAAAATTTAAGACCTTCTTTCACTTAAATATCATAATAATTGTTTTCCTGTTAGGGAAAACATCTTGCCTTCTCTATTGCATCCTATTTGTGATAATTTCTGGTTTTCTATAAAATTTAATTATTGCTGTTCAATTATTTAGAAGAAGAGAATAAATCAGCAATTTAAAAAAAAAGAAAGTCCATTTCCAATTCTTTTTATATACCCAGTGCCTCCCCTCTCCTGAAAAGTTAGTTGTGAATCACTGAGTCTCTTCCGGTGGCTTTGCAGGCCTCAGGTCAGGAAATTCTAGGAAGTGCAGTGTTAAGGATTAAGAAATCTGGTTCATATAAGTTTCCCTCTGCTCTCAAGAGAACTGAAGTGGAGAACTCAGATCCGGGAGCTCTAAGAGAGGAACTAATTGCAGAACCCCAGTGGAATTGCTCTTTTAACTCTCTTTCCTGGGGGATATTGAAATATTCTGCTTATTTTTAATGTCCCCAATAGTTCTCAATTTCTTTTTTTCCAAATGAAGGAAAACAATTTCATAGCAATTTCGTGGTCATTTGGGCTTCATTCTGGGAGGATAAGGTATTAAAAATACATAGACACATGTAGGCTGAATTAAATGTTGGCTGATATCCAAAAGAGGAATAGTTGTCTGAATCATAGATGGTTTCTGTTTACAATTTGATTCCCAAATGTAATGAGGAGATATGAGGGTGGGAGAGAAGTATTTATTTTTGCTTCAGTGATTTGTACCAGTTTGACTAAAACGCTTAGTAAAAAAAAAGGAAAAAAAGCCAGTTCAAGTGTCACAAATTTGGAAAAAACTAGTTCAGTACACAAAGAACACTGAATAAGAAGTCAAGAGAGCTGGGATTTAGTGCTGCTTCTATAATTAGCTGTATAATCCAGGGCAAATCAATTACTCTCTCTGGGTTCAGTTTTGTCGTCTGTAATTTCCTATAAAATTCTGGGTGTGGAGGGGAGATATTTTTTTTTTTACTAACTGTGGGAAATGAAAGCAGGATGAATGATGGAAAGCTGACAGTACACAGGAGGCTGGATCACTCTCTTACTTTCACTAGCAAACAAGTCAGGATGCCTACATTCTGAATCTAAAACATGCCATGACAAAGTACAGAGAAAATTAGCTGTTTCAATGAAAGGGGAATAACTGAGTAGAACTTTACAGAGGGGCTGTTTGAATGATGTTTTTAAATACATAAAAGATTCTAATAGAAAGAGAGAAGAAGCATCATAAAAAACTTTATGGCCATATAGGACTGCCAAATTTTTATTTCCTCTGTAAAAGCCAGCATAAACAGTAACCGCCACCACAGACATTATCATTCTATAAAAAAAAGACAGTTATGAACTCCTTTTCAACAAATGCCAACAGGCAGCCTTACCAAAAAATATTTAGTTTTATTTTCTAGAGTCATATGTTAAGGAATTGGGAGGTAAATTCAATAAATATTAATTCAAAATAATCTACTCTGCAGTAAGGCTTAAATCCATTTTACTCATTTTTTAGCAATCGGTCTTTTAAAATAAAGACAGAAAGTCTTTGTGTGTATGTGTGTGTGCGTGTGTGTGTGTGTGTGTGTGTTTAAATAGCAAAACAGCATGAACATCATCATTTCCTTAAGGAGAATTACCAAAGAGACTCAGTAGTATCCCACACACCATATTAGCTCTCATAACTGTACCTGGCTTTCATTACTATCTTCTTGGAAAATCACTTTTCCATTTATTTTGTACTTGCAGTCTCTTTCACCATTTCAAAGAAGCCCTACTATTCCTCCTCTACCCTCTGGGCTGTGTGGAGGGACTCACCCATCAGCAGGCCAGCAGGGATGGGGGGGCAATGTGTGCCAGCCCATCTTTGGGCAGGTGGGCAAGACTGATGCTTAAGCTGACTGCTGAGTGGTCACTGTTTGTTTAATTGTGATCTGTGCAATGAATTAAGATCAAAGCAAATTTGTGGGCAATTGTGTAAACTTTTCCACAAAGAGAAAAAAATGTTAATTTGTTCATCGATAAAATGTAAAAGAAGAAGGTAAAAAAAAATATTTCACTTACATATACAAAAACACATACGCAGGCACATAAATAAATACCCATATATAACTAAAATTAAAACTTCATAAGGCAATATTTACCCTCAAAGCAAGTGATATCTTCCGAGATTATCTACTTTCTTCCATTCGAGTTTGTTTTTCATTGAAAATGTTATTTGAAGCCACTGACATACTGGAGCCACTTGTGCCTACTTGCAAAGTAGGTTGTTAACTTTTCAGGAATTTTGAGAGCTAGTTGACTTTACATTGGCTTGAAATCAGCTAACTGAAGATTTTTTAAATATATACCAAGGAAATCATCAAATTCCACAAATCAGGGCTTTTTTTTCCTTTTCAGAGCCAGGTGATAAACATTTACCAGGACACCTCTGGTTGCAGATGACTCAATTGATTTTGCAAGTTATTAATGGGTCTCAGCTTACAGTTAAAAAGACACCGAATAACAAATATAAAGTTTCTAGTACCCAGAGCACCCCCCACATAAATATTAGTTTTCTTCTTTGCTTCCTCCTCCCACCACTCTATTATTCAAAAATATGTGTGTAAATATTAAGCAAAAAGGAATGTTGGATTCAAAACACAATATTTTTTGGTATATACTTTGCAGTTATTAAAAATCAGAACACCAATTACCAATACAAAATGCGTATGAGCCTGAGGAAGAAAGGAAGGCACTGAAGAATTCTCCTGCTAGTAACACAGAACATTGCCAGCGGCTGCTGTTAAGAAGGCTACGATTAAGACAATACTTGAAAATGCATGTGAAATCTGTGGCCTCTGTTACACAGTTTTCTTTTCTTCCTTCATTTAAGAAACATTGTATCTTGCAACAGTAAAATCTTCTATAGGCCTAGCTCTCTGCTAACAAATGACTGATTCCTGACAGAATATGCTTTTTTGAAAATATTTCCATATTTACTTACCTATCGTTTTTAGTTATTGATGTTTGAAATATCTCTGGTTCAGACACCGAGGAAGAAAAAGTAAATGAGACTATCCCACAGTGTGTGTACTGGTGCAAGGGGGAGAAATCCTCAAGCTCGGCTTTTGTTTTGATCCCTTCCCAAGAGTGTAAAAGTTTTTGTGTGTCCTCTTCATCCCGTGCCTGGCTTTTCCTCATCTTCTCTTTACTTTCTAATTTTCTTCTTTTTTCTACCCCTGGAAATAGTGGGTGTAGGAAGTACTCTGAAAAGGAGAAGTTTTTGGTTCAAAGAGAAGATTTCTTTTTTGTCCTCAAGTCTTAGAAACTAAGATCTTTCCATGGTAGCCAAAATCTCACACACACGCACATACACACACACACACACTCTTTAAGCAGCTTCATTCTTCTAAGCTCTAGTCCTTTTGCTTCAATTCACTCATACAAAATACATCTATTCAGTTCCTTTTTGAGTAAACAAATTAGTATCACAGAAATGTGAGCTGAAAATTTTACCTAGCAAAATGTACTTAAGCGCTCTGCGAAACCAGGGATAAAAGAAACCATATATTAAAGGATTACACGTGGAGTTAAAATAGCCAAACCATGTCAAAGCGTTGAACAAAACTATAGGAGCGGAGAAGTTCAAAAAGGGATCCAATAAAATTGTGAAGAAACAGGGAAACCAGCATAATAAGAAAACACTCATCACTATTCCTAAAGTTTTGGCTGCTTTTTTGTCTTTCTTCATTTGATTATTTTGATTTTCTGCCAAGTTATTGATTGCACGAGCGTGTTTTCTGGATACAGCAAAAATTTTGCCATAAATCCCCACCATCATAGACCAGGCGTGAAGAAATCCGCCATAAACAAGATGGTGTCCCATAGCTTGTTGAACATCACTGGGCAGGAACTGGAACAAGCCACCGAGATATCATAGCCTTCTATCCCATCAGCGTAGGCCTCTGAGAAGACCACTCCGAGTGCAAATGCTCCGGGGACTGACCAGCAGAGAAGTAGCAACCGTTTAGTGACTGGAACCGTCATTTTGGTGGAATAATGCAAAGGGTAACAGAAAGCATAAAATCTATCAATGGCCACGGAGCAAAGATGGAAAATGGACGTTATGCTAAGCATCATGTCAAAACTATAATGAATCTTGCAAAATGTAAGCCTGAAATACCAGCAGTTCTCCACCGATCTGATCACACTGTATGGCATGATGGTGAACCCCAGGAGGAAGTCTGTGACCACCATGGAGAGGATGAGGAAGTTGGTTGGTGTGTGAAGCTGCCTGAGTAGGAAATGGAAGTTATCATGGCAAGATTGCCAAACACCGTGATGAATATGGCTCCCGCCGTAAACGAATACAGGGCGGCTGGGACGCCCAGTGCCCTCTCATTTTCTGAGCAAGGTCTGTTTCCATGTTCAGAACAATCCAATTTTTCCTTCAGAAAAAGCAAGAAGATGGAAGTTTTCACAGAAAAACTCAAGAAAGACACAGAAGAAAAGGAAGATAATTCCTTTAGGCTGAAATATTACTTATGATCTTTTTCATTTATTTATCATAACCTTTATTTGCAACTTTATAGAATTCTAACTCAATGAGTTTAAATGCTCATTATTTCTTCTATACTTGCCTTGATTGAAATCATACCACCAACATTTAGTGAGCCCTTAGTGTATGCCAGGGCCTGAAATTAAAAAGAAAGAAGAGGAAGAAGAGGAGGAGGGAGCCGGGGAGAAGGAAGGGGAGCGAGGCTGGGAGAGAGGGTGCAGAGGGAGGAGGAAGAGGAGGAGGAGGAGGAGAAGGAAAAGGAGAAAAGGGAGAAGCAAGTTAATTATTGAGCTTCATATAATTGATCCTCCTTACGCACATAGATCTCTATCAGACAGTACATTGGCTTCTTCAAATGGGTCTGGAACACATAAGCAGATTTGATTTGATTGGACTCTATTGCCCTGTGGGACCAGGAGGTTATTATTTGAGAACCGTTTCATTCACGTGTTCTAATATTTTTAGTGTGATTCAGTTTTTTCATGCTAAGGTTGTTTGAAGAGGGAAGAATCATTTGAGGCTGTCTAATGATCTGGTAGAATCATCCTCTTCAGCCGATCATGGAGACTTGATAAGCATCTTACCAGCCAGAGCAGCTAAATCAGAGGTGGGCGGAGGCCAAAGCTGGACTCCCCCCTTCTTTGTGAAGAGCAAGTGCAGCACCCCAGTGCCTGTCCTCAAAGCCCTGCGCAACCCACATCAGGCAGTAGTGGCAGCCTGATAAGTCCCAGTGTGGGGGTCACACAGAGGGCTACGAGCAGGTGGGTAGTGAGCTCTAGGAAAGCAAGCCATCTCTACTACAGAAAAACAAACAGCACCTGCCCTCCCTGTGTTGGCTGAGTATCTTCACTTTGCATATAAAAATCGGCATGCTACCATTTATATATATATTTGGTACGTAACATGTTCATGAATTAGGATAACTTTCTTTTTAATGTACATTAAGGAAAAAATCATTATCTAAATACAAAGCTTAACTATAAGTATTGCAGAAAGCCTTCAGCCGTCCGTGATTTCACACATATCAGACCTGAGCAAATCAATAAATTCTCAGCCTCTGTGACATAAGAGCACCATGACAGACGGATCAATAACTGTTTATTGAGTGCCCACAAGACACAATGAAAGAAACAAGAGAACATGAACTAGTCCCTGGTCACAGAGTTTACAAAACAGCTGAAGAGACAAAACACATCTATTCTTAAACCCTAATGATTCTGGACCACAGATAGAAAGCAACGGTGGAGATTAACGACCAAGGAGAGGTCTAGGCAAATGTGCCACCAAAGATCAAAAGTGGGCAAGAGAATTTCAGGCTGGGCTAGACAAGAATGCTCGGGGGACGGTGCGGCTTTTGATCAGGCTCTCAGTGGGTGAGTAGGATTTGAACAGAAAAGCAAAAAGCCTATTCCAGGTAGAAGAAAGGGTGAAGAAAAGACACAAGATTGTTCTGAGAGGTTTAAAAGTCATTCTCAGGATCTCTGAAATACAAGGGAGAAAACAGGGTTGAGGAGGGAAGGGAGGGGGGGAAGGGAAGGTTTCTAGTTTCACTGTTCCCCAAACTGGTGTTCTCAGCCAGCATAGAGTCAAAGGAGCTTTCCCACTTTGTCCTCAAATTTATGTAGCTATTTTAAAAAGAAAAAAATTAAAGCAATTGAGTTAGCTACAGGAGATTGAGTGCAGATTTGAAATTAAAATCTTTCTCCAACTGATTCTGAGTGTCGAGTCCAAGGTAATTTTACCCTCCTATCCTTCCTCCTCTGGGGTCCTGTCCCCACACGTGCAGAACTAATGGCTAACTGTGTGACAGCACACATTGCAGCAACAGAACTAAAGATGGAAAAGGAGCCATCTTTACATCTGGGACATGAGTGATTACAACCATATAATAGGAACACCACCCAGCTGCATTTGGGGTCTGTGCTAATTAATGCTGTTTACACAGACGATAGACTTATTCCTGAAAGATAGTTTTCCCAAAACATTTTTATCCCAAAATTTCTAAAATGTATACAACTGCTTTTCAAACTGTGTTCATTTTCAGCAGCTATAATAGGGGTTTCTAATACGTGTATAGCATTTCTCTCCTGTTCCTGCTCACATCCTCACAGGGAAAAAGGTAGGAGAAAAAAACAAGAGGAGGAATTCTCCCCCATCTTGTACCAAGTTTTTCATCTATTTACCATTCCTTGTTAGCCACTTGCTGATCAGTTAAGCACCAGCACAGAAGAAAATACTGGGAGAAAATGCAGTTTTATAAAATAGAAATGAAAGTTCTAATCACCTTCAGTAAGCTCATTGAAAAGCACAGGAGAGCCAAGGAAAATTTTGTTGGTTTATTTTTAAATCACTTGAGTTCTTAGAAAGTAAAGCTAAGAGAAATAACAAATAATTTCATTTTAATGAAAATGGTGCACGCATACACACATAATATTCTTGTGCTAAAGGCAACTCCACAACAATACGTTTTAAGATTTAATTGCAAACTTCTTTGTGTTCCTAGCTTAGTGACTTTGATATTGTTAGTTATCCTACCATTCCGCTTTGGGAAAAGTTTTAGTCAATTCTTCTAAGCTTCAAATCATAGGGTATGCAGCTTGACTCCCTTCCCTTCTAGCATTCAGGAACTTTGATTAGCCAATCAACTCTAAGAACTATAATAAAGTTCTCTGAAACGCATAATAGGATGGACAAGTTTGTGTTCCTCATATACTGGCCACAGAGCAGGAAGGGGCACATTAGATGACTATTTGGTGAGTTCATCAAACAATACTTTTAAACGAATTCCACTTAAGCATCATCATTCTCCATGGTGTATTTGGCATGTTTCTTACATGTGATCCGTCGTCTATTTATACCTTTCAATGGCCGTATCTTCCACATCTTTCAGATTGAGTGTGGAAAGCTAAATGCAAAAACAATATTTTCAATGGCTATATTCTTCAAGTGTCATTTTTTCCTATTTTTTAAATCTATTAATGTAAGCACATATAGATACAAAGATTGAAACAGAATTATATAGAAAGCCTGGCCTTTTCTCCATTACTGTTATGTTTCTACAAAAAGCTCAGGCAAGAAAATTAAAGATTTAGAACTTAATGAATTGCTTGCCCATCCAGCTTATGAATGTCTAACTGTATTCTACTAAGTTGTTGACATAAAAGTGATTTCTACATCCCCAAGGAAGTGATTAAACTGCAGGACCATGACCACAATCATAAAGACTTTTCTGATTTCTCTAACATGGTTTCATTTCTTTTTACCTTCTCATTAAATTTGGTTAATGCTTCCAAAAGCATTAACCCGACTGGGAGGCCACCTATTTTCCAACAGTGACACCTTGTGGCAGTTTGGGAGAACTGAATCTTTGGATTCCGTCCCCAGAGAATATAACCAAAAGACCCACAGGGAAATGGGAAAGATGGTGTGGGAGATCAAGATTTGGCCACCCTGAAATATATCTCTTTACCTTGATTGTTTTCTCTGAGGGACGTTTGACCTCCCCCACAAACTGCCTAAAGAATTTAAAACAAAAGATCTGTTTCAGGAAGGAGTTATTATCATGACTGCTATAAAGATAATGTAGGATAGAGGTTACAATAGAAAAGGCACCAACAAGCCCATCTCATCGGGAGTTCTGTCTCTCTGGCCACATTCTTTGGATGGCCCTGCGAGGAGTTGCCAGACAATCATTTACAAGGGAAGTCTCCATTTGTAAAGGTATCTCCCTCTCTGTATTGGGAAGAGGGGGGATGAGCTCATTTCTAGAGACTTATCAATGTGGAAGGTGAGTCCTTGGGGCTGCATAATAAACCTTACTCTTGTTTACTGTGCTTTAGTGGTAATCTCCTGTAACTTACTCCCCCAACCCCCAAAATCCTCCTTTGTCATTGGCTGAACATAGTATTTAAGACGAGAATTTCTGCTATTGTGTTGAGAAATGCAGTGTCCCTGCTTTCTCCCATGTATACATGTTATTAAACTTGGTATTATTTTCTCCTGCTAACCTGTCTTGTTAATTATTTGGCCAGCCATAAGAACCTTAAGGAAAAGGGCAGAGGGAGATTCTCCCTCTTCCCCCTACAATGGCTAACTAATTTAAATAATTAATTTAAATAATACAAAGAGATATGATCTTTGCACCTCGAGCTGAAGAAAAGGGATATACCACTAACATAAGTATTCACAGTTTTTAATGGAACTCAGGTGTGCAGAATTTGAATTAATCACAATTAATCATGTCACACATGGCCTGCTTGCTTTATTTGCTTGCTTGTTTGTTTGTGACATCATGAACCTCCACGATTGTGAACTAGACTGGCAGCAGCTTACATAGTCCTATAATGCTGCTTTCTGCCCATGGCCCTAGGTAGCTGCTACATTGAATTTTGTTTATCACTTTTTGTATTCCTTTAATAGCTTTATCATGTGTATTTGTATAATTAAATCAAAATATTTCTAGGTTTGATTGTTTTTAGAGCTCTTTATAAAATGGGGATCATGCACTTTGTTGTCCTTTGGAATTTATTTTGCTGTTATTTGTCCGGTCAACTTTACACTATATGAAGCTGTAGTTCACTCATTTTCGCTGCCATATAATAATCTGTTTCTTTTTCCTCTTAGTAATACATATTTGAATTATTTCTAGTTCTGTTACTATTATGAACAGTGATATTTTGAACATTCTGGTGCAATTTTCCTGGTGCTTACATTCAAGAGATTTTCTTGGAAATATCCATGAGGTAGTAATTGAGGAGTCAAGCAGAATATGAATATTCAACTTCACAAGACAAGACCAACTTTACTCTAAAATGGCTGTACTGATTTGCATTCTTACAATCAATATGCAGAAATTCTATTGACCTACATCCAAAACATGGTATTGTCAGA